TATACATAGGTTACTAACGAAATAGTTTTAAAAGCTTCAGAAAGAACTTGACAGCTCGTGGCTGTCCATTAGTGCTCTGGAGGAAAATGAGTGTATGAGGACCCTATCCGCTACTCAAAGCTCTCTGGCTGCAGTGTAAATGAAGTTCACTAGTGACCTTGGTGTATTTTCTCCACTTACAAACTTTTGACATCTGTGGTTTTGATCTGGTCCACCTCCATTTCCCCTTTCTTCTGGAAATATCACTTAGATTTCCTTTGGGGACCACCCTCAGTTGCAGAGATAGACACATCTCCCATAGAGACCTAACCAGTCAGTATATAATTCATCTTTCAAGTCACAGTGATTGGTTGAGGGTGGTGTTGAACCAATCCTTCCAATGAGACTCAATCCTGATCTCTTATTAGAACTATATAAGAAAAGAAAAACACTCTGCTGGAGTTGGTAATCAGGAAATATTCCAGTCTGTTTTAGTCTTCTATATATTGTTCATCGTTTCTGACCATTTAGAAAAGGGATTACATTAGCAAATGGTTTACAGAGTCCTATTGCCCAAGGAAATCCAAGGTGGAGAAAATATCATAGTGTGGTAACACCACAGAGCCACCTCGCTCAATGAAGTGAGAGATCACCAGGGACAAAAGTGCTGAATAAACACTCTTGAGAGGAGAGATGTCAAATATTATCAAATAGTCAAATTTCTTAGAAAATCTCTTTTTTTGAAAGTATTCTGGGGTAGACCCCACAGCTGAAGTAAAGGAGGACTAGTCCTCCCTTTTTGTTAACAGGCTCGAATAGAAACTAGGGAACTTATTAAGAAGAAAAATTGAAATGTGAAACTATTTTTAGAAAATATATATTATGTGGTCAGATGTTTTTAGAGAGGCTTAGAGAGTAAACAAACTATGGCTCTCTAGATAAAATTGACCCCTGAGATAAAAACTAGACCAAAAGGTCTTCTGTTAAGAATTGGAAGCCTGTAGGTAAAGAAGCCAGGAGAACAGTGCAAGTGAAAGGAGCACTGAAATAACAATGGTTCAAGCTGAAGGACAGTCCAAAATCTGTCTCATCATGGCCGCTCTGAGGAAGACCTGAGTCCACAACAGTTCCTCGTCCTCTCTCTAAACTCCCAAGTGGAACAATATAGCATTCTTATGGATATTAGTGTTCTCTACCCTTAATCCTGCTACTCTGGAACATCAGATCCTCAGAGGAGTTTTGAAGTTGTCTAAAAAGCAAAATGACTTACAGTGAGAGTGAGAGAGAGAGAGAAGAATTTTGTCTTAATGTAAAAATGACTGACATGATAAAAGATGATGAAGAATTTGAAAATGTATAGTAATCATAGAAGCTTGAGAAGAAATAAACTTTATTTGATTTGGTCTACTAGAACCACTCTAAAAACTGAGAATTTACAATAAGTCTCAACCCATATCTGATACTTTGGGATCTCTGTTGGAGAAATATTCCTTTATTCTTTGTGGCACCTACAGATTTAATAGGCAGGATCTACTTCCAGAGAAAATATACTGCAGCCCTTTCATATTACCAGATTATAGCTGATGTGACATTAGAATACCTACACTAGCCTAAAGAAATGACTCAAGGAATTACCAAAGATACTTACATGTGGAATCCCCCCAAAAAAGGTCAAACTCATAGAAACAGAGATTAGAAAAGTGATTTCCAGGGGTTGGGAGGTAGAGGAAATAGGAAGCAGTTGGGAAAAGGGTGCAAACTTTCAGTTATAAGATAATGTATAACATGATGATTGTGGTTGAAAATACTGTCTTGTATAACTAAAATTTACTAACAGAGTAGAAATTAAGTGCTCTCACCAAAGTTTTTTTTTTTTTAAAAGATGTGAGGTGATGGATGTGTTAATTATCAAGATGAGAAGAATCTTTCACAGGGAATATCAAATTATTACAATGTATACTTTAAATATCTTATAATTTAATGTCAGTTATACCTCAATAAAGCTGATCAAAAAATTACCAAAGAAATAATTATGGTCTCAGAATCCCCAAGGGTAAAAGACTTTACAGACAGGCTAACTGGAACAAAGTCAATTAGAGTTCAGATTGATTCTTCCTAGATTTTCATAAATCTCTTTTTGTACTGACATGAAAAGGGTAGGCCGTGCTCTAGGGGTGTTAAAAACATGGCACTGCCTGTCCCTTAAATCAGTAGAAGCCATGGCTTAGTCTCCTTGCTTCAGAACAATTACAGTCTTCAAGAAATTAGTCAAAGCATCTTCAGATCTTGTGTTAGGCTCACCTTTAAATCTGATGTTACCACATGCAGTAAATCTCTATTGCTAAAGGAAATCACTCATCATTTTCCTACTAGTTAACTAAATAATTATAAACTATTGCCACTTTCTTTTTCTCATATTACCATCTACTGGTATAATATTCTTTGAGTATACAGAATAGTTACAATAATTGTTTTAATGTCCTTGTCTGTCAACTCTAATGTTTGTGTTAGTTCTGGGTCAATTTTGATTTTCTCATTATGTTCCTGCTTCTTTGCATGCCTGATAATTTTGCCAGAAATCGTGATTCCACCTTGATGGGTACCATTTTTTTGTATTTTTCTAAATATTCTTAAGCTCTGTTTTGGAACACAGTTACTTGGAAATGGGTCATTTGGGGCCTTGCTGTTAAGATGTGTTAGGAGCAGAGCTGTGTTGACTCCAGGGCTCACTATTCGCTACTACTGAGGCAAGGCCCTGTTGTATACTACCCAGTGCCCGTAAGTCACAAGGTTTCCAATACTGGCTGGTGAGAACTGGTACTGTATGTGTGTGTGTGTGTGTGTGTGCACGTGCGTGCGTGTACATGTGCGTGCACGTGCATGCTGGGCGCCGTCACTTCTAACCCTTTTGGATGGTTTTTTCTCCAGCCTTAGGTAGATTCCTCAAAGGCATGTGCTAACCAGTACTCAGCTCAATACTCAGAGAGGACCTTGTGGACATCTCTGAGATGCTCCCTCTGTGCAGCTCTCTCCTCTCCCATACTCTGTCCTGGAACGCTTGCAGCCTGTGTCTCCCTGGACTCTCAATTCTCGTTCCTTAACCCAGGGAACCCATCCTAATTTCCACTCCTTGCATCATAGCCTGAACGCCCTCAAGGCTGTAAGTTGAGGCAACAATAGGGCTCACCTCACTTGTTCCCTTTCTCTCAGGGATGAGAGTGCTTTGTTGCTTGATGTCCAGTCTCTTAAAAACCATTGTTTCATATTTTGTCTGTTTTTTTGTTATTTCAAATGAAAGTAGAGGGTCACAATAGAAGCTAGTATATATGATAGACACTCTAAACGTACTATAGAAACACTTATAAAGTATCATAGAAATACTTTAACAAATCATCACACTAAACAGGCAGTTTTAACTATAATCTTGACTAGAATTGATCACCAATCTAACTCTATAATTCTCCTCTTGTTCTGGATGAGGACATTAATATTCTTGGCATGTGACTGTCGCGACAACACTCATTTGCATCCCATTAAGATTGATCATCTCTCCTGTGCAGCAATTGGGATCTTTGTTACTATGCATAATTCAGGACCAAGGTTTTCAGTGCCACCCCAGGACCAAGGTTAATTGTTCTATAGGGCTCTTAGTTAGGCTGTTTCAAGATTCTGACTCCCGCATACCATCAAATTGACAATACCTCCTTACCTCCAAAGGGATAAATACTACAGGAGTTAGACAACCTAAGGAGGCTTTTACCAGACTGCCAATCAGTGGGTCCCTCACTCTTGAAAGTCAGACACAGAAATGGACGCCCTCCAGGAAACTTGCCTCTGAATGTCTAATCAACAATAGTCTCACTCAAGTACTACACATCTACAGATGATGTCAACCTACTCAAACCTCTGAAACTCTTCCAGTGCTTGAACTCCATGCTTCCTCAAAACCCTATATAAGATCAGCAGTTTGCTCTGATCAGGGAGGCCACTGTCTGACTAACTTATCTCTCCCCTACCACAGTAAGCAATAAATTCAGCTGTGTTTTTTTTAGTATTTTGTTCTATTTTATTATATTTATTTATTTTGGGCTGCATTGGGTATTCGTTGCTGCGTGTGGGCTTTCTCTGGTTGCGGAGAGCAGGGCTACTCTTTGTTGCAGTGCGTGGGCTTCTCATTGTGGTGGCTTCTCTTGTTGCGGAGCATGGGCTCTAGGCGCGTGGGCTTCAGTAGTTGCAGCATGCGGGCTCAGTAGTTGCAGCACGCAGGCCCTAGAGCACAGGCTTCAGTAGTTGTGGCACATGGGCTTAGCTGCTCTGCGGCATGTGGGATATTCCTGGACCAGGGATTGAACCCATGTCCCCTGCATTGGCAGGTGGATTCTTAAACACTGCGCCACCAGGGAAGTCCCCAGCTGTGTTTTTTTTTATATTAGATATTGAGTGGTGGGCTCATCAACCTCTGAGAGTCTTATATTTGATATTCTAATTTTATAATTGCTCACTTGATTTAGGTCCTAATACTATTACCAGCAGCTACCATTACTTGAGCATCAATTAAGCCAGATATTATGCCAGCTGTTTACATACTTTAAATCTGGATTACTTAATCTGAAATGAGAAGATAAAGCTGAATTTATTGCTTACTATAGTAAGGGAGAACTACATTGGTCAGGCATAATCTCCTGGAACAGAGTTGAATAAACTTCTTTGTAAATGTCCAAGGAAGCTGCAAATACAACCTCTGAGATATCTTATATACAAATAGAGATATGGTCTTATAAAAGGTGTGCTAGTAATTACCCAGCATAGAAGGGTGTATGTTTACTAGACAGTGGGAGAGTTTTTACTACTTTTCAGGTGATCGTATTTCCAGGGATTATCTACTAGATGTTAGACTAGGACATTTCACTGAAATAAAGTATCATATCATTTAGTTGCCAAATCATCCAGTACCTCATTAAATGCTTTTTGATAAAATTTACTTAAAACAATAGCCAAGTATCATGCAACAGCATCTCCTATCATACAACACATTAATATAAATTTATTGGGGGGAAAGGGACAAAAAAGATGGGGTGGTTCTATATTGATATCAAAGAGTTCATAAAAGGATAAACTCAGGTCCAAAATCTTCAGTCCACATCAAAGACTTCATGTTCTGATGACGTTGGAAACAGCCCAGCCCTAGTTGCTGGGCTCAGGGAATCAGGGTGATGTAGCTGTTCTAAGTGAAGAAGCTCCTCTGTCAAGGACATCACTTTCTCTTTAGTTCAGAATGACACTTCTTGGGCACAAGTCTAAGATTCTGTTTATTCTCCCATCGATGTAGAGCAGACTGATTGGATACGCCGTTGTGCCTTTTATCTTGGTCCTGTTGGAAAGAACACACACCCCAAAACTGTTAGAAACTAACTGCAGAGCTGAGGACCTATTTTGTCTTTATGGATGTCATTTTTCAAGATAGGTGGTTCTAAACTAGACAGCTTGGGAGAGGTAGAACTTTTAAGAAAGAAATTCAGTTCATTGGTTTTCCAAACAGTAGTTAAAAGAAATCTACAGATTAGTGGAGAGTAGCTGGATGAAGAGAGAACTTGTGTAATTAGAAATCTGAGTAGGAACAAATCCAGAATTGCTTAAGACAGCCGAATATTCCACCTTTTCCCGCCACCTGTCTTCCCTCTGCAACCGGTTTTTGGTCAGCTCAAGTTGTAGGCCATCGAGTCTGCAGTTAAACCAGCGCTGAGCTTCTTCCAGGTTAGCTGTTATCTGCACATACAAATGTTCTCATTAAAATTTACAACAAAGGAACACTTAATCTTTTTGTGTATTAGTTCAAGAGACTCTTTTTTTTTTCCGGTACGCGGGCCTCTCACTGTTGTGGCCTCTCCTGTTGCGGAGCACAGGCTCCGGACACGCAGGCTCAGTGGCCATGGCTCACGGGCCTAGCCGCTCCGCAGCGTGTGGGATATTCCCAGACTGGGGCACGAACCCGTGTCCCCTGCATTGGCAGGCGGATTCTCAACCACTGCACCACCAGGGAAGCCCAAGACTTTTTCTTTTTACACTGTATAATTTAAAAGCTTTATTTCCCCCCACAATTAGCAAATGGGCTTCATATTAGTTAAACTGGAAGTTTTCTTCCTATGGTTGCCAGTTCAAGAGACTTTACTTAGATATTAAAAGACTCAAATTCTAACTGCATAGTCTTTGCAACCTGTTTGCATAATACACATCCTCCTATAGATGAGAGAATAATTTCTGAATATGGAGTTAAACAATGAATGCAAACCTGATTTTCATGCATTTGTTAATATTTCCTGGATGTGAACTGAGATGAGAGGGCTTGGGAGAAAGTTACGATAGGAGTGAAAGTACAAGATGGCATTGAAAATTCATGTGGTAGTTCAAACCACACTTTGAGTTCTGTTCTCTAAGACTAAACACTTCTCCAAAGTCCCTGAACTGTAAAGCCTAGATTTTCCTGCTGTGCTTTATAAAGGTAATACAATGAATTAGTAAAAACACTGGACCAGCTTAGTGTAAATGGTATTTTTTATTTCCTTTATCAAAATATTTTATACTTTAGCTCCTAAGCACAAATTTCCAAACGATCTGTTAGACTTGAAAACAGTCCCTCTAATAGTCTGCCTTTGAAGATGATCTAGAATCAGTATTCATTTACTTGACAGATGTTTATTGAGAGCCTATATGTGCCTGGCACCTTTCTATGTATTTGGGATATTTTGTTATTTTGAAGGTAGAGCCAACAGGTTTTTATTATATATAAAGGTTGCTTCAAAATAGCTGTAGAACATATCCTCTAGAATAAAAAGTAAAATGACTGGTTTTCCCCCTTTGATTATTTATGTTTCATGGACAGCATTTTCACGTTTTGACTCTGAGGTCTCAGAGACTACTGTATTTCTCTCTTGCTTGGGAGAAGGCAAGTTCGATGAGAGCAGGGGCTTTGTCTGGCTTATTCACTCTGTATCTCCATCACCTAACACGGCACCAGCCATATAATAGGTCCTTTATAAATTTGTGCTACTATGTACTTGTCCCATATTAACCAGGTCACAGTGTGGGTACAAAATAGTGAGATAAGAAAACAGAGCTCTGCTTGTCATTTAACTTTTAGAAAGCTACAAAGCTAAAGTATTTTCCAGGTCTGTTTGTGCATCCTGACGACAGACACACTCCCATCCACCCCCAAACCAAACCCCACTTTTCTCTTTATCAGAAGTTGAGGGAAAGATGCTTGAAATGACATTCATTGTACATCATGTCTCCTCTTGTATGGCGAATGAGAATGGAGCCAACATTTATTGAAACTTACTCCAAGCCATCTATCAGAGTAACAGTGGTAGGTAATAACTTCCTGACTACTATAGAAGTGGTAACTGATGAGTTACAGAAAGTAAATGTAACTTCCTTAAGGGCCCAGTAAGTGTCATTGTTGGCAAACTCACAAGAGAGGAGTCCATATTCCTTTTAATTAATTATTTTTTAAAAACATCTTTATTGGAGTATACTTGCTTTACAATGGTGTGTTAGGTTCTGATTTATAACAAAGTGAATCAGTTATACATATACATATGTTCCCATATCTCTTCCCTCTTGCGTCTCCCTCCCTCCCACCCTCCCTATCCCACCCCTCTAGGTGGTCACAGGGCACTGAGCTGATCTCCCTGTGCTATGTGGCCGCTTCCCACTAGCTATCTGTTTCACATTCGGTAGTGTATATATGTCCATGCCACTCTCTCACTTCGTCCCAGCTTACCCTTCCCCCTCCCTGTATCCTCAAGTCCATTATCTAGTAGGTCTGTGTCTTTATTCCCGTCTTGCCCCTAGGTTCTTCATGACCTTTTTTTTTTTATAGATTCCATATGTATGTGTTAGCATACGGTATTTGATTTTCTCTTTCTGACTTCACTCTGTATGACAGACTCTAGATCCATCCACCTCACTACAAATAACTCAATTTTGTTCCTTTTTATGTCTGAGCAATATTCCATTGTATATATGTGCCACATCTTCTTTATCCATTCATCTGTCGATGGACACTTAGGTTGCTTCCATGTCCTGGCTATTGTATATAGAGCTGCAATGAACATTGTGGTACATGACTCTTTTTGAATTATGGTTTTCTCAGGGTATATGCCCAGTAGTGGGATTGCTGGGTCGTATGGTAGTTCTATTTTTGGTTTTTTAAGGAACCTCCATACTGTTCTCTATAGTGGCTGTATCAGTTTACATTCCCAACAACAGTGCAAGAGGGTCCCCTTTTCTCCACACCCTCTCCAGCATTTATTGTTTGTAGATTTTTTGATGATGGCCATTCAGACTGGTGTGAGGTGATACCTCATTGTAGTTTTGATTTACATTTCTCTAACGATTAGTGATGGTGAGCATCTTTTCATGTGTTTGTTGGCCATCTGTATCTTCTTTGGAGAAATGTCTCTTTAGGTCTTCTGCCGATTTTTGGATTGGGTTTTATGTTTTTTTGATATTGAGCTGCATAAGCTGCTTGTAAATTTTGGAGATTAATCCTTTGTGAGTTGCTTCATTTGCAAATATTTTCTCCCATTCTGAGGGTTGTCTTTTCATCTTGTTTATGGTTTCCTTTGCTGTGCAAAAGCTTTTAAGTTTCATTAGGTCCCATTGGTTTCTTTTTGTTTTTATTTCCATTTCTCTAGGAGGTGGGTCAAAAAGGATCTTGCTGTGATTTATGTTATAGAGTATCCTCTAAGAGTTTGATAGTGTCTGGCCTTACATTTAGGTCTTTAATCCATTTTGAGTTTATTTTTGTGTATGGTGTTAGGGAATGTTCTAATTTCATTCTTTTACATGTAGCTGTCCAGTTTTCCCAGCACCACTTATCGAAGAGGCTGTCTTTTATCCATTGTATATTCTTGCCTCCTTTATCGAAGATAAGGTGACCATATGTGAGTGGATTTATCTCTGGGCTTCCTATCCTGTTCCATTGATCTATATTTCTGTTTTTGTGCCAGTACCATACTGTCTTGATAACTGTAGCTTTGTAGTATAGTCTGAGGTCTGGGAGCCTGATTCCTCCAGCTCCGTCTTTCCTTCTCAAGATTGCTTTGGCTATTTGGGGTCTTTTGTGTTTCCATACAAATTGTGAAATTTGTAAGTTGCTTTGGGTAGTATAGTCATATTCACAAATGTTGATTCTTCCAATCCAAGAACATGGATCTGTTTGTATCATCTTTAACTTTCATCAGTGTCTTATAGTTTTCTGCATACAGGTCTTTTGTCTCCTTAGGTAGGTTTCTTCCTAGGTATTTTATTCTTTTCGTTGCAATGGTAAATGGGAGTGTTTCCTTAATTTCACTTTCAGATTTTTCATCATTAGTGTATAGGCATGCAAGAGATTTATGTGCATTAATTTTGTATCCTGCTACTCTACCAAATTCATTGATTAGCTCTAGTAGTTTTCTGGTAGCATCTTTAGGATTCTCTATGTATAATATCATGTCATCTGCAAACAGTGACACTTTTACTTCTTTTTTTCTGATTTACATTCCCTTTATTTCCTTTTCTTCTCTGACTGCTGTGGCTAAAACTTACAAAACTATGCTGAATAACAGTGGTAAGAGTGGGCAACCTTGTCTTGTTCCTGATCTTAGAGGAAATGGTTTCAGTTTTTCACCATCGAGGACGATATGCCTACTTTCTGGAGAGTTTTTATCATAAATTGGTGTTGAATTTTGTCGAAAGCTTTCTCTGCATCTATTGAGATGGTCATATGGTTTTTCTCCTTCAATTTGTTAATATGGTGTATCACATTGATTGATTGATTTGCATATATTGAAGAATCCTTGCATTCCTGGAATAAACCCCACTTGATCATGGTGTATGATCCTTTTAATGTGCTGCTGGATTCTGTTAGTATTTAGTTGAGGATTTTTGCATCTATGTTCATCAGCGATATTGGCCTGTAGTTTTCTTTCTTTGTGACATCTTTGGCTTTGGTATCAGGGTGATGGTGGCCTCGTAGAATGAGTTTGGGCGTGTTCCTCCCTCTGCTATATTTTGGAAGAGTTTGAGAAGGACAGGTGTTAGCTCTTCTCTAGATGTTTGATAGAATTCACCTGTGAATCCATCTGGTCCTGGCCTTTTGTTTGTTGGAAGATTTTTAATCATGGTTTCACTTTCAGTGCTTGTGATTGGACTGTTCATATTTCTATTTCTTCCTGGTTCAGTCTCCGAAGGTTGTGCATTTCTAAGAATTTGTCCATTTCTTCCAGGTTGTCCATTTTATTGGCATAGAGTTGCTTGTAGTAATCTCTCATGATCCTTTGTATTTCTGCAGTGTCAGTTGTTACTTCTCCTTTTTCATTTCTAGTTCTATTGATTTGCGTCTTCTCCCTGTTTTTCATGATGAGTCCGGCTAATGGTTTATCAATTTTGTTTACCTTCTCAAAGAACCACCTTTTAGTTTTATTGATCTTTGCTATTGTTTCCTTCATTGCTTTTTCATTTATTTCTGATCTTTATGATTTCTTTCCTTCTGCTAACTTTGGGGTTATTTTGTTCTTCCTTCTCTAATTGCTTTAGGTGTAAGGTTAGGTTGTGTATTTGAGATGTTTCTTGTTTCTTGAGGTAGGATTGTATTGCTATAAACTTCCCTCTTAGAACTGCTTCTGCTGCATCCCATAGGTTTTGGGTCATCATTTTTTGTCATTTGTTTCTAGGTATTTTTTGATTTCCTCTTTGATTTCTTCAGTGATCTCTTGGTTATTTAGCTGTGTATTGTTTAGCCTCCATGTATTTGTATTTCCTACAGATTTTTTCCTGTAGTTAATTGATATCTAGTCTCATAGCATTTTGGTCAGAACAGATGCTTCATACAATTTCAATTTTCTTAAATTTACTGAGGCTTGACTTGTGACCCAAGATATGATCTATTCTGAGTGTTCCACGAGCACTTGAGAAGAAAGTGTATTCTGTTGTTTTTGGATGGAATGTCCTATAAATATCAATTAAGTCCCTCTTGTTTAATATATCATTTGAAGCTTGTGTTTCCTTATTTCTTTCCAGTTTGGATGATCTGTCCATTGGTGAGAGTGGGGTGTTAAAGTCCCCTACTGTGACTTTGCTGCTGTTGATTTCCCCTTTTATGGCTGTTAGCATTTGCCTTATGTTTTGCGGTGCTCCTATGTTGGGTGCATAAATATTTACAATTGTTATATCTTCTTCTTGGATCAATCCCTTGATCATTATGTAGTGTCCTTCTTTGTCTCTTGTAATAGTCTTGATTTTAAAGTCTATTTTGTCTGCTATGAGAATTGCTCCTCCAGCTTTCTTTTGATATCCATTTGCATGGAATATCTTTTTCCATCCTCTCACTTTCAGTCTGTATGTGTCCCTAGGTCTGAAGTGGGTCTCTTGTAGACAGCATATATATGGGTATTGTCTTTGTATCCATTCAGCCAGTGTCTGTCTTTTGGTTGGCGCATTTAATCCATTTGCATTTAAGGTAATTATTGATATGTATGTTCCTATTACCATTTTCTTAATTGTTTTGGGTTTGTTTTTGTAGGTCTTTTCCTTCTCCTCTTGTGTTTCCTGCCTACAGCAGTTCCTTTAGCATTTGTTGTAAAGCTGGTTTGGTGGTGCTGAATTCTCTTCGCTTTTGCTTGTCTGTTAAAATTTTAATTTCTCTGTTGAATCTGAATGAGATCCTTGCTGCATAGAGTAATATTGTTTGTGGGTTTTTCCCTTTCACCACGTTAATTATGTTCTGCACTCCCTTCTGCATTGCAGAGTTTCTGCTGAAAAATCAGCTCTTAACCTTATGGGGATTCCCTTCTATGTTATTTGTTGCTTTTCCTTTGCTGCATTTAATATTTTTTCCTTGTATTTAATTTTTGATAGTTTGATTAATGTGTCTCGGTGTGTTTCTCTTTGGGTTTATCCTGTGTGGTACTCTCTGTGCTTCCTGGACTTGATTGACTATTTCATTTCCCATGTTAGGGAAGTTTTCAACTATAATCTCTTCAAATATTTTCTGAGTCCCTTTCTTTTCCTCTTCTTTCTCTGGGACCCCTATATTTCGAATGTTTGTGTGTTTAATGTTGTCCCAGAGGTCTCTGAGACTGCCCTCAATTCTTTTCATTCTTTTTTCTTTATTCTGCTCCCTGGCAGTTATTTCCACCATCTTATCTTCCAGCTCACTTATCCGTTCTTTTGCCTCAGTTATTCTGCTACTGATTTCTTCTAGAGTATTTTTAATTTCAGTAACCTTCTAGATCCTTGTTAAATGTTTCTTGTAATTTCTCCATTCTGTTTCTGAGATTTTGGATCATCTTTACTATCATTACTCTGAATTCTTTTTCAGGTGGCTTGCCTATTTCATCTTCACTTATTTGTCTTGTAGGTTTTTACCTTGTTCCTTCGTCTGTAACATTTTTTGTTGTTGTTTCTTTTTTTTTTTTTGATGGGTGGTGCTGTATTCCTATCTTACTGGTTGTTTGGCCTGAGACATCCAGCACTGGAGTTTGCAGGCAGTTGGATAGAGCCAGGTCTTGGTGCAGAGATGAGGACCTCCAGGATGCCTCACTCCCATTAATATTCCCTGGGGTTTGAGTTTCTCTGTTAGTCCAGCAGACTTGGAGCTCCCACTACAGGAGTTTGGGCCTGACCTCTGTCCTGGGAACCTAGATCTTGCAAGCTTTGTAGCATTGTAAAAAAGAAAAAGGAAAAAAAGGAGCAGAGCAGAGCAGCACAGTATCAAAGAATAAAAAAGAAATAAAATTAGAAAGATAAATATATTAGGAAATATAAAACTATAATTGAAACAATTGCAACAAGGTAAAATAAAACTACAACAGAAAAAAGAAAAAAAAAGCGGGGAGGGTACAAGCCAAAAGGAGAGAACAACAAAGTATAAAGAATAAAATAAAATTAGAAAAATAAGATTAGGAAATGTAAAAATATAAGAGAATCAACAATGAGTCAACAAGGTAAAACAGAACCCCAATCTAAGAGGAAAAAAGAAGGAAAAAAAGCCTTGGCTACGGGGTGGGGTTTAGGTAGGGGTGGAACTTAAGCAGGGGCAGGGTTTAAGGTGGGGCAGGACCTAGGCTCAGGAGCCCCATAGCAGGAAAAGGCCCTGGGGGTGGGGCCTAGGTGGGGTGATGTTCAAGTGTGGGGCAGGGCCTCTGCTTAGGACCTGGGTGGAAGGAAAGGAGGGCCTCTGGAGTGTGGAGTTCTGGAGTGTGGAGGTAAGGCCCTGAGTGAGGGTGTGTGGGTGGGGTTTAGGCCCAGTGCCTTGGAGGGGGTCTCAGAGGGGGTCTCTGAGTGTCGAGGTGAGGCCCTGGGTGGGGGTGTAGGGGCAGGGCTTGGGCTCTGCACAGTAGGAGGGAGGCTCCAAGGATTGGGCCCAGGAGCCCAACAGGGAAAGTGCTGGCCCTGTTTCCTTCCATTCCTCTGTGCCCTCCCCCACTGTCTCCTCCAGGGTCTCCCCCTTTGCTGCTGGACCCCTACCGTGGGTGGGTCCCACTGGGTGTAGGAACTTCTCCCCTCCCCCAGCCACCCCTCAGGAGTGCTGGTCCCACAGGTCCAGCCTTTACTTTTGCTCCCCCTCTTCCCTCCCACTCCCTCAGGACCCGCACAGCTGGAGGGGGCCTCAGTGGGCAGAGGGTCAGGCCTGGGATCTCAGCAGGTTCCCAGGGGCCCAACTGGGCAGGGGAAACCTGGCCCTGCTCCCTTTTGATCCTCTGCCCTCCCAGTGGTCCCCAAATTTCTCCCTTCAGGCATGGAATCCCTTCCCTTCCCCCAGCCGCCTCTCGGGTGCCAGTCCCATCCCACCTCTGCTTCTCCTTCACTCCCCCCCACGCCCCATGTCCTACCTGGTCTCTGGGGGTTCCTCCCATCCCCTTAGGTGTCAGTGGTCCCCCACTGGTGCCTGTTAGGTGCCCTAGTTGTGAGGAGACGCGAATTCTGCATCCTCCTAGTACACCATCTTCACTCCGCCCCCTCCATATTCCTTTCAATATACCATTCTGACAGTCATATTATGATGTAATTTAATGGCTACAAAAGGGATAAACTGGCAGCAATGTCACTGTGATACCTTTAGCTTAAGAATCTCTTCTTTTTTGAATTTTATTGTACAGCAGGTTCTTATTGGTTATCTATTTTATACATATTAGTGTATATATGTCAATCCCAATTCCAGGGATTTCTGGAATTTCAGGGACTTGGACTACCAAGTTAATATTTGTCAATATCAATCAATATTTTAGCATTCTATGATGTCTCATCAAGACAGAATCTTAATCTAAAACTATTCTTTATAACAGAAGCTATACTGAGCAAGGTATTGGTTCTTGCCTTTTGCACTCCTGACAACTATGTTACTGAAGGATATTACACTGACTTGTGTTTCAGGGCCATCGTGTCTGAGGAAGCTTGTCTAAGTCTTCATGTTCGTGGGTCTGCTCACCTGTTCTGATTCCACACTAGCTTCTTTCAGTTTATTCTCTGTTGCCTCTTTACATTTCTTCAGATGTCTAATAGTTTCTTCCAATTCCTGAAAATGTGATACAAAGACTTTTTACAAACTCCCAATGTACTATATATGGAAGAAAAAGCTTCAATATTGTAGTAAATGAGCAACCAAATTATGAAAGTATGATGGGGTACTTTCTAACTCCAGGTGCTACCAGACTATAAGATAAAAACTATTATTTTCAGTTTAACCTACGGTATACATTTGTGTATATGATTACGGATTTTGATTTACAGATTCTCCTGAGAAAAGGTGATTAACATCTCTTTCCAGAACTGGGGAATACTTTTCATAGCAGACAATCTCTGTTGGAAAGCAAGAGCTTGATGGTCTCTTGAAGTCCCTTTTCCGTAATAAAGTGTGCTTTTCATTAGGTTGGGAGTAGATAAAAGTCCTGTAACGGCAACAGATGCATCTGAGCTACGGGGAAGAACCAAGGGGTGTAAAGTTCCTGAAACACTATTAAGTTCAGAAGTCTTACTTAGTAACTAGTACTTTGCATATGTGAGCTTTAGCCGTTCTTTAAAAATGAGTATCATTTTTATTAAGTTGAACATGAAGACGAGGTACCACAGTCAGAGCTCCAGGCTTCATTCCTAGATATGATTCTAAGGACTTAGCTAAGATGAACGACTTGTAAGCTTGTCTTCTACACAGCCTAGAAAAGCCAGGTGCCCCCATGCTGGGTTTTGCACATGGCCTTTGCTGGTAATCTTTGAGATGAATCTTAGGAACCCTTTTACCTGGCACCGACGCTCCAGCTCCCGCCTCCTCTTCCACTCTGCCTCGAGTCGCAGCTCTTGCTGTTTATTCCGAGCTGACAGATCATATTGGCTCTTGGCCAACAGCTGCATCTCCTTCTGTAGGTTAGTCATTTCAGATACAAATTTCTGGATACTCAGTGACTGGTAGGGCACAAAGAGGGAGACGGTTGGTGAACCTGTCCAAGTTTAGGATTTCATGTGAATGGTAAACAGAGTGTGTGGAAATCATCTACCTGTTCGTAGTTTTTTTTCTGATATTGATCCTTAATTATCTCCATTTGCCTCAATTCTGTTTCTATTTGCTGAAAGTAAATGTGGAAATAACATAGAAAGATGATTAGTGGAAAAACTGGCTTGCTCTTTTTGCCTATAGGCTAACAGAAAGAATCCCACATGAGATCCACAGTTACCAGTTCCTGCTCTCCTTCCCATCCAGCCCCCTGACCCCGAAAGAGCAAAGTCTTGTACAATCACTGTGGAAGAGACAGCCGGGGAGCTAGAACGTGACACTGGCAGCTAATGAGAAACCAAACACTGATGCAGCAGTATCTCTGCAGGAAAAGTCTCCCCCCACCTCCCCCCAGGCAATCTGCCCACTTCCCAGGTGTAGCTGTAATTCCCAGAGAACCCATGGTGGTGGTAGTGCTCTGAAACCATCTTCCCCAGACACCACTGCCTGCCTGGATCCTCATCAGATACTAAGGAGGTAAGAGGAGAGTTAGGGTTTCTCATACAACCTTCATCCTCTCTGTATTCTGAGCATTATTCGTCTTAGCTGACAAGTGGAGCTTAATTTGGGCCTTTTGACTCTTTATTTTGTCCTTGCTGCTGTTCAGTGTCTTTTCCAACTCTGTAAGTTTCTGCCGCAGCTCTCGGTTGGTCCGGGATACCTCCACTGATCTGAAGTTGGCTTCATCAAGGGCTTTCTTCAGCTGTGGGATACAAAGGGAAAATTAGAACGTTTTAACCTTGCATTCAGTAAGAGAAGCTTATGTTTAGCTGTGTCCCTATATTTTGTTCTCTTTGGACCTTTCTTTTAAAAAGGAGGTTAAGTGATGGGACTTCCCTGGTGGTCCAGTGGCTAAGACTCTGTGCTCCCAATGCAGGGGGGCCGGGTTTGATCCCTGGTCAGGGAACTAGATCCTGTGTGCCACAACTAAAGATCCTGTGTGCTGCAACTAAGACCTGGCGCAGCCAAATAAATAGATATTTTAAAAAGGAGGGTAAGTGAGGCAATAATAAGTAGATTTGTGGAGAAACACTCTCAGTGATTTTCATAATTTTTAACACTAAAGAACACAATTTTTCTTAGAACAGATAATGTAAATGTATGTTCATCATTTGCTTTGTAAGAGCATGGCTTTGGAATCAGACAGAAGTTAAAATCTCAGCTTCACCACACACTAGTCAAGTAATTTCCGATAATTAACTTCCCTAAGCCCCAGGTTCATCATTGGAAAAGTATGTGAATAGCCTACTTCATAGGATTCATGTAACAGTTAAACAAGATGAGGCAGAGAAGGAATATAGAGCCTGGCACACACTAATTGCTCAGTGCTCATTGCTATGCTTTAAAGGTTTTGTTTTGTGTTTTTTTTTAAAAAGTTTAACTGCGTCTCTTTCAGTCATTTGCGACCTCATGTATGGAGAAGTGGAAATAAATTATATGGCAGTTTATGTAAATACACCTATCAGTTATTCACTATCCTTGCATGTATTTTTATAACATTGCTTTTTTTCTATTGAGGTATAGTTGATTTACGATATTATATTAGTTTTAGGTGTATGACATAGTGATTAAAAATTCTTATAGATTCTACTCCAGTTATTATAAAATACTGGCTATATTCCCTGTGCTGTACAATATATCCTTGTAGCTTATTTACATAGTTTATAGTTCTTATGAATATTGCTTTTTGTTTAGAAATTTTAATAAACTTGTCTAGTGGAAAAATAACATAGTGATTACTATTAAAAACAAGACAACAGGCCCACAATGAAGTCACTTATGCTAAGCCTTATGTCACCAAACTGAGACTTAATTACAGTTTTGGCTCTTCCAGAAAAGGACTCTTAAACCAGTCAATCAGGAATCGCCCGATCAGCATTAGTTGAGTAATCTGCCTGACAGACCCCTGCCACCCCTTAAAGGAAGTAACTCTGCTACTAGTAACTAATCTACTTTTTTGCCTAGTTAACTTCCTTGTTCCTGCTCCCCTCTGCCTATAAAAGTCTTTCATTTTATACAACTCCTCAGAGCACCTTTCTATTGCAATTGATTGCATACTGCCTGATTCAAATTGATTTTTGTTCAAATAAACTCTTAATTTTATTCTTCTTCAATTTATCTTTTAACATTACTTAAATCATTTTACAGAGTTCCCCCTCCTCCTCATATGCCCTTAAATGAGTACCACTTGATTTTTAGGAAGAAGAGACGGCAGCTGAGAAGGGAGAAGATAGGAGGAGGGTGGTATTCTCTGTGGCTGGTAAGTATTTAACTCATGTCAAAGAAAAAAGTCAAAATTATTTGTTACCTTTTCTTTTATACTAGCTCATTCTCTCAGATCCTAACCTCACACTACAGTGTTAGTCTTTTATTATCACCCAACTAAATTTCTGTTAGATATTCCACCATTACCTCAATCACAGCTTTGTCAAAACTGGGTAAGCCCTAAAAACTAACCCTCAAAACCACCCTGGAAAGCAGTTGTGATGATTTCCATTTTGACTGAGGAAACAGATTCAGAAGTGAAGTCATCTGCACAGATAGTAAATTTACACATTGCTAATAAGAGGCAGAGCTGGGAGTCTTAAACAGTGCACCCTGAGCCCACCCCTGCCACTAACTGCTCAAGACATCACACTCATACTGTTCCTTGGTCTCTCCTGCACAAGTTCACCGTCTTTACTGATCCCTGTTAAAAGGATTTAAACTTTTAAGTATTCTGAACAACTCTCTCTGAATAAAGGTACTTTTAATTTCAGTGCCCATTTTTGTTTCCCACAGAAATTATTTTTATTATATTTTTTAACACTTATATACAGTGCTTTTTCAATTTACAAAGCACCATGTAAATAGTTGAATCTGATTTTGTGACTGTGCACTGTCAAGTGCAATTGCTAACTGCGCTAAATTTGGCAAAATACAGACCGGCCACCCCAAACAAGTCTTGGAATTATTTTAATTACTCCCTCCCCTTTGCTTATGATACATTTAGTGTCTGATTTTTCTATTAATTAAAATGGATTTTTGATTTGATTGTTCTCTTTTTCAACAGAAACACTTTGCTTGGCTCTAATCATCTGAAGCCCAAAGTAACTGCTCTAGTTCCCTTGAGCCTCCATGTTTCCAGTTTCTCTTCATTCTTACCTACTCTCCACTGCTAATAGACTAACCTACCTAAAATTGTGCTCACAGCCTTCTCAGAAACCTACAGTGCTCTACTTTTACCTAATACTTTCCATCCAACATTCTGGTAGTCAAGGCCGTCTACCAGCTGGTCTCATCTAAGCTAACCCCTTTTTCTCAGAAATTTCCTAAAGTCTCTGCTCTGATCAAGAGAGGCAAATCCTTTTTCTTTGCTCACATGTCCTATTTGTTTTTGTAACTAAGCTTTGTTCATCCTCTTACATAGAGAGTGTCACAGCCCTGTCAGCTCTGCCAGTCTCAACTCTGTATAATTTCACAAGCTTCCCTTCTTCTTCGATCACCCAACCAGCCTAAAACAAACTTTCCCTTACTTCTGAATTCCTTTAAAATTGTACACAGCTTCTAGCTATCCAAGAAACATCTGATGTCTTCCTAGTTGTCTCATGTAAAGAGTGGAGATGACAATTAAATAAGGGGTCATTTAGCACAGACCACATCTTCTGCTGTTTTTACTTGTGCCTCTCAGGAGGAGGTAGGTGCATGATGGATGCTAGTTAAGTGAATTGAGGAGACAGGTGACTTGCCATCTGTCTAGCAGATGGCGGTCTCCTCCTTCCTCTTTCCCACTCAGTTATTATTCTCCAGTGGGAAGGCTGTCATCAAGGCATTCCTTCATTGGGCAGATAACTGTATATCAGAAACTTTTTGTGTGTTAATTTTACAAACAGCATAGAGATGTAGCTGGCTTGCTGGAGACAGGGGGATTAGAAGAGCCAAAGAACAACTGTAGCCATTCTGGGAAATCCTGTAGCTGGTTCTCCTCTTCAAAGGCATTCACCTAGAGGGAGACTTTTGTCACTTGCCTCCATACCTCAGTCACTTCCCGTTGTGCTGCTTTCTTTGCAGTTTCTCTCTCAATTTGAAACTGCTTTCTTAGAGCATCTATGCGTTCAGCATGCAGTTCTGCTTCTATTTTGGATTCTTCACTCATCTGTTCTCTGTTTTGAAAAAGAGAGATGATAAATCACCTTTAGAAAACATCTTAGTAGATGTCATTTACCAATGAGAAGTAGATAAGTCACCAGGTAGAAATCACTGATCTGGAACTCATTAACAGAAGAAGAAATAAGCATTTACCTACAGCATTAAAATACAAAAAGTCATTCAATAGAAAGAGATCCACCCAAAAGGGTGAAACACATACTCTTGTTTTAACCAATACTGAGTAGTCCTGAGCCAGCAACATTTCACCAGAATATAAAATTTGTACAGATTACAAATATGAAAAATGCCCTCTTTGCTTTAGCTGATACTTGCCTGGTGTATCAGTATGTTCACTGCATGAAAGGACTAAAGATCCACGTGCACAATGCACTTCCCTTGGGTATAAACTTTCATGGGATGTTATTAATATCTAAATCCTATTTGCCTAGATAAAGTTTAACAAAAAACTTCAGTGGCTTGACCTGAACTTGATGGGTTTGACCTAACTAAGGACAAAATTGAAAACAATGAATGGTTTAGCAGCTGCTTAAATGGAATTATCCCACTCCTGGAGGTGTTATTCCCATCCATGCTTCTGTTTCTCCTTTTCCAGATCATACTTTTAAAGGACACATAAGCTTCTGATAGAAAAGGTTTGGCAGAAACATGTAAGTGTCCCTTCCAACTTGGTTTAAACCTTCATGTACGGAAGAAGACCGACAGTAGATGAGGGAAGAGCTGAAAAGGAGCGTACCCCAGCCAGCTAATATCTGCTCTGCTCAACTATGCCTGCTTCCTTCACATGGCTCTGCTGGGAGTACTAGCTCAAAAGGGAAAAAGGCTTTAACTGGTTTATGTGAATTAGCCAAGCTTACTCTCCCAGAGGCTCTTCCCTAATTTCACTGCGACTGTACTGCCCTTACTTGAAGGTTTCCAAAGTCTGTCGCTCAAGTTCTTTGCTTTCCAGTTTCTCTTGAACGTGATCAAGCTTTGTTTGCAGATGATGATTTGTCTGGAGAGCTTGCTCCAGGCTCATAGCCAGTGTCCTGTTGTCTTCTCTAGCTACATCTAGAGCTTTTTGTAGAGGCTCCATCTGAAAGAGAGAAGAATGATTGTTTTCGATTTCACAAGATTGTTTTTAATTCCACTGTAACAGACACAAGAAGTCCATAACACTGTATATTCACTCTTTAAACTTTGAAACAATAATTGTTTGGAACCAGAACCAAAGACTCCAGATGCCTAGAATATATATGTGAGAACTTATTACAGACAGTCCTTAGGAGACTCTTAGAAGGTGATAGGAAGGGTATGCTCCACTGGTCACTAGAGAGTTTTGGAAAATAGAGCCAACTTATTTATCCTAATTTCTAAAGTTTTAAACCAGTTAAACTCCTCCCTTCCTGATCCTATGACCCTCTGGTCTCACTGCCTAGAGAGATAAGAACTGGCAACTGTTCCTTGTATATCCTTCTAGAAAAAGCTTTTTATAGGAACTATCTCTATTTTATATGTGTGCATACGTGTAGATACATATTCATGTGTGTACACACCTATAAACACATGTGAGTATGCCTCCTTATTTAGTGGGATCATTCTAGCTACTTCTGACTAAAGTTATGTTGTTTTCTAAGCCCTTTAACTTCACTTATGCATTAATACATGAAAAGAATGCAGACCACATAAGACAAAGAGAGTTAGGCATAATTATGGTCCTGGTTTGCCAATAAATGGTTCACTGTAAGATCGCAGACCCATTTCCCATTTGGAAATATGTCACTGTTCAAAACTCAGACTTGAATGGAAAGGAAATTTACCCGATTGTTTTACTCCGTTTTTCCAAAATAGCAATATCCCAATAAAATAAAAAATATCAACATTATCATCTATAAAAACCTGGCTTCTACCTCACTGTTGTGCTGGGCCTCCACGACAAGGACTCTGGCCTGCCACTGGTCCGCTTCTGCTTCCAGCTTCTGTACCCGCTGTTGATGTAGAGCCCTGTAAATGAAGGGCACAGGGAGAGTGACCATAGAGAAGTACCATCTGGGAATGATACCACTGGGAGTTACAGGACACCTTCCAGGAAGCCCAAATGGCGTATGTAGTGGGCTACAGATGCTCCGAATATCTGAGAGTTGGCAGGTGACAATTAGTAGCCTCAGCTTCAGGTTAAGAAACTAATTTTCGTATGGATTAAAAACTTGTCCCGTTTATGATTCAACTTGGCTTTATATATTAAACTATCAGTACATGTTGATGACTAACTTATGGGCTGGTAACTTTATACTATATATATTACTAGTACAAAAATATATCACCTCTATGTGGACTGGCTTGCTGTTGAGATTTCTGCTTTTTACCTAGAATTTTATTGTGAATAGTAAACTATTTTTAATACCATCCCCTTGACTTTTTTTAAGTTCAGAGGTAATACAGATTCATAATATGTAAAAAAACAAGCACAATGAAGAATATAAAACTCACTTGTTCTCCCATAACATAGAGGCAATATGCACCACTAAGGTATTACAATATGTCTTAGAGGTCTGATTAAACCCAAACCAATTGTTCATTAACCTAAAAGGGAAACTTTTATGTAATTTTTGAAACATTCAAAGGAGTTCACTTATAAAACATGGCTAAAAGTAGTTCTCAGAATGATTCATCTAAAATAAATAGGATACTAATAAATGGATAATTAATTCAAACAGAAGTAGACACTTGGCTTTAATCTTGACAATTACCGTTCTGTAGACCCAAGGGCAGGTATAAATGGTGTAGAAAACAGCAAGGATGAAACAGCATATATCACATGAATTTCTAGAATACATACTTATTTACATCACTACAAAATATGAGAATTTTTGGATATCATTTTTATTTATAATTCCAGATTTTCCTGAATTTGCTAGTTCTTTAAATACCATTTTACTACTTTATTTTCACAAGAGAATCAATATAAAGTGACTGTTTCTTGACTGCACTCTGTTCTTTACTACAAGGCAGCAGAAAAATACAAGTACAAAGACAGAAAAATAATCTCTGGTACCTTTCTTTCTTGAGGCCTGCAATCTCTGAATCCCTCTGCCCAAGCTCTGTTTGCACTTTTTCCAGAGCGCCTTGCATCTTACTGTAAGAAGCCAACACATTCTCCAACATGATTGTAACTTTGCAGTTGTCTTCTTTAGCTTCTGCCAGTTGTCGCTGAAAGTTTCCCACCTAATAGAAAATGAAATAAGACAAAGATATTTGATCCTTTCTGGTTATTCTTCTGCTGAGTCCCATGACTTCTAGAAGAGTATGGAAACCAGGTCTGGTAGAATGCTAAGAGGAATAATTAAAGTATATTTTATATTTATTTTGTTTCTTAAGTTATTCTGACTTTGAGAAAGAGAAAACTAGACCCTAGATCATATGGATCCTATGAAGAACTCTGCAGTGCATCCTAACTATTGTCATGTCCAGCACATATATTAACTAGAGACATAAGGACCAACAGCTTCTTGGGTGTAGAGGGGGTCCCAGACTGGCCTGCGCTAGCCCTCCTCAGCTATCTTACCATGGAGTCAGAAGAAAATAACACATTTGAAGTCCATCAGAATTATCTGAGGAAAAAGGACCATAAGAGAAAGTGGAAGCTGCTGAAGAATGATGTGACTCACAGCCCTCTTCAGAGGGGCAAAATCTGGCACCTGCTGTCAAGAAGTTTGGGATGTTACCCCTCTTCCCACTAAGTACACACACGATTAAGCAGAAAGCATTTGGTAATTTGACTTAATATAAAATCTTAACAGTGTTATATCACATTAATAGAACATAAGTAGGTGGTTATTAATACCAAGGTCAGATGTGTTTCAACAGAAAAAAATAGGACTTTTGATTATTTTAAGACAGGAAGAAAAAAAAAAAACCATTGGGAGTTAAATCATGTATTTTTAAGGGAAATATTTTAGAGCTCTTCTAAAGTTATCCTTTTTTAGGAAAAAAAAAATCCTCCTCTGATCAATCCTCTTTCTTTTTTACTAAAGGTAACAAGAAAAGAAAGAATATGGCTCATGAAAGATTTCAGAAGTGCTTCATTTCAGTAACAGACTTCAGAAAGGATTGATGTCTTGCCTTCTTGTTCCCCCTGTCCTCCAAAGCTTCGAGGTCACCTTTCAACTTCTGAGTCTCTTTCAGGGCTGCAGCACGAACCTTCACAACTCGTGAGAGCTCCCCTTCATTCTTTTCAAGAATGGATTTCACCTTAGTAGAAAAAAAGAAATGATAAATGATTCTCCCAAAGCACAATCAATCAGCAATTAGAATAAGACAGCAATTTAGAAGCCAAATTTAAAATGTTTAATTAAATATGCTTATATATTATTGTAAATAAAAACTAGCTTTAGTAGCTGTTTTTCCCCTTAAAACTACAAAGCAAAAAAAAAATCTGTTAATAAACATGGGCAAATCTCTAATATATGTCAATCTCTATGAAAGCACAGAATGAAGGTAAGGGAGATAAGACAATGATGCTAAGATGAAAAACGGGGGAGAAACTGATTATCACAGAATTTGAAAATACAATATAAATTAATATCATAAAAGCAAAGGTGAAGAAGCACTAAATAGTGTCAAGAAAATAGTGTTACAGAAGTGTTCTAAATAGTGTCCTAATCCTAATTAGAAGTATTAGAATTTTACATCTCTGAAATACTTTTAGTATATCTACAGTTATTTCAGATGATCATACTATTCTAAATACTACTCTTTTAAAAAATACTTTATCTTGAAATACAGACTCACAGGAGGTTACAAAATTAGTGCAGAGTCCCCATGCACTCTTTTCCCTGCTTCTAATGATGACATCTTATATTGCAGTTCAACATTAAAACCAGGAAACTGACTTTAATGAGATTAACTAGACTACAAAACTTACAATTTTCACCATTTTTTTAAATCTGCATTCATCTGTGTATGCACACATGCACACAGCTCTATGTAATCTGATCCCATGCACATATTCCTGTGATCACGACAATCAAGATACAGAACTGCTCCACTGCCGCAAAGAACTCACTTGTGCTACTTTCTCTGTGTTCACACCCTCCCCCAAACTCATCCCATGTCCCCTGGCAACCACTAATTTGTTCTCTATCGCTACTGTTTTTGTCATTTCAAGAATGTTATTTTAAACATTTAAAAATAATTAATTTCAGTATAATACATTCATATTTTTTAAAACAGCCTTACTGAGATATAGTTGACAGACAATAAGCTATGTATATTTAAAGTGTACAATTTTGATATATGTATAAACCATAATTATGATAATGAACACTTCCATTATCCCAAAAGTTCCCTTATGCCTTTTTGTAATTTCCCCCACTTCTATCTCTCCCTGTTCCTACACATCCACCCAAGGCTACCACTGACCTGTTTTCTGTCACAATCAATTCACTTTTATTTCCTAGAATTTTATATAATGAAATATTTTATGTACTCATTTTTGAATGATTTTTCACTCAGCACAGTTATTTTGAGATTCACTCAATCTTCTTTATGTTGCTGAATAGTGTTCTGCTGAACACTTGAGTTGTTCCAGTTTTAAGCTATTACAAGTAGAGCTGCTCTGGGCAGTTGTATACAGATCTTTGTGTAGACAGACGCTTTCATTTATCTTTGGTAAATGCATAGGAGTGGAACGGCTGGGTTGTACGGTAGTAATATGTATCACTTTTAAAGAAACTACCAAACTATTTTCCAGAGTGGCTGAGTGATTTTACATTCCCTTCAGCAATGTATGAGAGTTCCTCCACATCTTCACTAACACTTGGGGTAATCAGTTTTTCAATTTTAGACATTCTAATAGTGTGTGGTAGTATCTCACTGCAGTTTCAATTTGCATTTCCCTAATAACTGATGTTTAACATCTTTTCAAGTGCTTATTTATCATCCATATATCTTTTTTGGTGAAACGTGTGTTCAAATACTTTGCGCCTTTTTCTTTTTTTTTCGGATTGTCTTTCCTTCTTAGTGAGTTTTGAGAGTTTTTAATAAACTGTGGAGACAAGACCTTTATCAGATATGTGATTTGCAAATGTTTTTCCCCCAGCCTGTAGCTTTTCTCTTCATTTTCTTAACAATGTCTTTGAAGAGCATACGTTGTCAATGTTACATTTTTTCCTTTATGGATCATGCTTTTGATGTCAAATCTAAGAAATCTTTGTGTAATCCAAGATCACAGTGGTTTCATCCTATGTTTCAGAAGTTTTACAGTTTTAGGTTTTACCTTTAGGGCTTTCATTCATTTTGAGTTAATTTTTGTATATGGTAAGAGGTATGGATCAAAGGTATTTTGTTTTTTTGTTTTTGCATATGATACCCAATTGCCTTAGCACATTTGATGAAAAGACCATCCTTTCTCTACTTTTGCTTCTGTTGAAAATAAAGTGTTCATAAAATTATTCTCGATGGGTAGCACATTCACATTACTCTTAAGGTGCAAAAGGATAAAGTGAAAAATCTCCCAGCCACCCAGTTTCCTTCCTCGAAAATAATGTTGCCAATTTATTACGATTCATTTTAGAGAGACTCTATTCAAAAGTGAATACATATGTATACTTCATCGCCCCAATCCTTCTGCACACAAATATTAAAATACTCTGTATACTCTTCTGAGCCTTGACTGTTTTAACCTAATAATAGATATGTTATGATTAAGATAAATATATCTTCAAACAGTATTCCAAACTATGGGTATACCATGGTTTATTTAGCCAGCCTCTTACTGATGGAATTTTGGTTGTTTCTAGTCTTTTGCTAATAACAAACAATACTTCAGAAAGTACCTTGTAAACATGTCTTATGTATAAGCTAGTGTATCTGTAGGAAAAAATACAACTGTGGGCGTAAAGTGATAAACAAAGCCAAATTGCCCTCCACAGGAAAAGGGCACTCCAAACAGCAGCAAAGAGAACGCCTTTCACCCACATCTTCCTCAATATTATACTTCCTTATAACTTTTAACCTGTAACATTAAAAATAATTTCTTCTATAAGGATTCAAGAATAGTACAAAATATGCTAACTTATAAGGTTTTGAAAACCTATTGGATTTTGTTCTAGAAAAGTACATTAGGAAGAATATAGTTTTTATAATTTTACCAGTGTTTATAAAATATTTATAAATATGAAAAGGCCACTAGCAAAAGTGCTTACAAAAAGGGTCTAAATAGTAGTTAACTCTAGAAGACAATCTATAGTACTTTCTATTTTTAAATATCAAACGAAGATGGATGCTCTAGTAAGTTTTCTTTGGAAAGTATTTTCCAATGTTCAAGTTCTCAGGGCTTCTATTTATGTATTTCTACTTTAAAATCAGGCTTTACCCATTTTACTATAAATGTTAAGACTATTAGCATTAATTTTTAAAGTGAAAATCAGAGTAAAAATCTCAATGGTTACTCTTAAGCCAAATATGACATTTCTGTGTCCAAAACAAAACTTAAGTGTGCAATAGCCAGAAGGACGGTTTTGATCTACATCATCAGTTTTTCCTGTTTGTGAAGAAGTTCTTTCCTTGTTGTTACTCACACCTCCAAATGTTATCTTTCTATATGTTACTACTTTTCTTCATTGTTGTATAAATCTGAAATTTCCTTATGATTTAATTTGTGGCCTTCACTTACCGAATCCCGGTAAAGAAAATTTGGTGACTCATCATTTAATGGTCTTGAGGCAAGAATGTCTATTTTACCTTCCAGTCTTCCCTCCATGGTTTTAATGGCATTCAAAAGAGTCTTTAGAGAGATCCTAGAGTCTCCGATCTCCTGAGAAGACCTCACAGAAGTCAGGGTAGGTGCAAAGGTCACGTGGCGTGTAGGGTTTGGCCTAACACTGGGCAAACCAGCTGATGAAGTTCGTTCCTTTACATTGTTGACATAGGGCCTATAGCTTTCAAGGAATTTTGAAGATGCAGGCCTCTCTGGAGACTTCCTTCTTCTTGGAGGCATCACCAATTTAAAAAGACAAAATCAACTAAACCTAGAATTATTTTTCAGTGAGTGCCCCCTTTACTATGAGAAACAACACAACGTTCTAAATGAAGCTGGGATGGAAAATATACTTAAAAATGTGTTCGTTTGCTTTCAGAATGAAGAAAATACTAGTGTAAAGTATGTCCTAGTGAAGAAACAAAGCGTATCTAATGAGGTCCCCTTTACCAGTAGAGTCAGATTGTTAGAACCCTAGCAGCCTTCCATTTGAAGACACATTCTAGTTGCTTGGTTACCAAGGATATACATACACAAACATTATAGTTAAAGAAGTTACACATGCTTACAGTGTTAAAAATAAATAATGTGATAAATTTGTAAATCATTGAAATGAATCACTTTCTTTTAGTAACATATTCCTGGATTATTTTCTTCACTAAATGTTTTACATATCTTCTTTGTCTAATTTTCTCTGTTCATATGTTAAATTGTTATGTGACCTATGAACGGTTTTCAGTCTCAATAGCCACCATGCTAACAAGTAAGCACCTTCACTACTAATACCTCTTTCAAGTGCGCTATTGCAGGTATATCTTGTTGGCAATGAGTTCTGCGTTTGCCTGTAATTAAAAACCCAAAGAGGGCTTCCCTGGTGGCACAGTGGTTGAGAGTCCGCCTGCTGATGCAGGGGACACGGGTTCGTGCCCCAGTCCGGGAGGATCCCGCGTGCTGCGGAGTGGCTGGGCCCATGAGCCATGGCCGCTGGGCCTGCACGTCTGGAGCCTGTGCTCCGCAACGGGAGAGGCCACAACAGTGAGAGGCCCGCGTACTGCAAAAAAAAACCCCAAAACCCAAAGATACTTGGTTCCTCACGTCTGCCGAAAGTTTTAAGGCTCAAATTAAAAAACCACTTCCTCTATGATAGAGATTCTCGATGCTTTCATCATGATGATGTTCCCTATGCATGCTCACAATACAATCTATTTTGTTTCTGAAAGGCATAACCTTCTATTCTATAATAAAGTCTGCTGAGTACATTCCTAATCTTAGCAAGTTGAGTGTCCCAATACTGCTTCAGGCATCTTTATGAATTCTTCTGTGGTTGAGTGGAACCTTGTACATCAAGGGTGTTTAAAAATGTTTTTGATAAATTGAGTCAAGTGAGAGAATATTCATCTTTCTGGGATCATATGGTGAGGTGGGGAGAAAGGCACCAATTTCTTAAAAGCTAATTAAAACAACATAGAAGCAATCTGTTTTATAGCTATTAATCACACCTGAGCATATTTGCCCTCTAGTGCCTTACTGAACTTGCCGTAGATGGTCGTTCTGTGAACTGGTTTCAGTAAAAGAATGTAGTTGTTCTAGCTGCTTAACTTTTATCTAGAGAAAAAAACAGAAGAATAAAAAAACAAGTCTCATTAATGAAATATATATATATATACTCCAAAACAAAAAAGAAAGATGTCACAAGTTATGCAAAAAAAAAAAAAAATCACAGAAAATCCTTAAAACTTGTAAAAAGCAATCCTAAGTTTTTCTAATGATGCTGTTTCGTTTTTGTTTTTGTTTTTGCGGTACGCGGGCCTCTCACTGTTGTGGCCTCTCCCGTTGCGGAGCACAGGCTCCGGATGCGCAGGCTCAGTGGCCATGGCTCACGGGCCCAGCCGCTCCGCGGCATGCAGGATCTTCCCAGACCGGGGCACGAACTCGTGTCCCCTGCATCGGCAGGCGGACTCTCAACCACTGCACCACCAGGGAAGCCCTCTAATGATGCTATTTCAACTAAAATAGCTATTTCAACAAATAAAAGTAGGCTATAGCCCTATACATGTACTGAGATAATTCATTTGGTTTATAGCATTTATGGAAGCTCCAAATTAACATGACTCATGAATATAACAGTGAGACGTTGTGGGTAAAATATCTCAATTTTAAAGGAACTGTGGTATCTAGTATTCAAAACCCTTTCTGAGTACGGATAATTAGAATTGTCAATATGTAAGGAGACAAGAGTCTTGTGTTCACCCACAGAGAATTACGAAAGTTGAATTAACAGAGTTCTTATAGGCTGAATTATATTTGAAAACTAACTCATAAAGCTGGCTACTCACATCTTTCACTTTAAAGAAAAGATGATTTGGGGGAATAAAATCATTAATATTTACTCACAAATCTCCAAATTGTGTATATTTCTACATTTTCTTCCTCTTATTCCCAACCCTCTCAATACAAATCAACAGTTAACATTACTGAGCCTATCTCTGAATCAGAAAAAATTTCATCCAAAATTTTTAATTTAAATAAACTTTTTCCTCTCTCAGTATCTTTTCTTGTTTCCCACCTCTGAAGGGCAAACTCCTCTTGGTTGTAGCCACTGATTGTTTTCAAGAACTGTTAAAACTTGAGTGCTAATACTTAGTTTTTTTTAGAAAGGCTACATGAAAACACATTTTGTCTCAGGAAATCTCTCTTGTTCCATCAGAAGAATCCTTCTTTTTCTCATCTTTGCCTCTTTCTGGTGCTCTTTTCCACAGTGTACAGTATAAAACATGTTCCATGGCTCCCCCTTAAGTGTATTCACTTAAGGTTCAGAATTAGAATGGCTGCCTCTAAAGGGAGGTATTGATGCAACACTTATTCTCATTTTAAACGTAAGCAGGGCTTCCCTGGTGGCGCAGTGGTTGAGAGTCCGCCTGCCGATGCAGGGGACGCGGGTTCGTGCCCTGGTCCGGGAGGATCCCACATGCCGTGGAGCGGCTGGGCCCATGAGCCATGGCCGCTGAGCCTGCGTGTCCAGAGCCTGTGCTCTGCAACAGGAGAGGCCACAACAGTGAGAGGCCCGCGTACCGCAAAAAAAACAAGAACAAAACCAAAATAAACGTAAGCAAACTGCTGTTAACCTTAGAACTCAGCGGAAAATACTGATGAACACTCAAGAATTTTAGATTTGCCTCTCTTCAAACAAAACACAGGATATCCTTATTCCACAGTATTTCTCAGGTAATTTACGCTACCCCCAGCCTCAGAGTACTCAATAAAATGCCCTGAAACTTGTCAGATGGCATGTTCTCATCTATGAAGCACTTTAATTTTTATACTGGGTTTATTTTTTGGAAGGATTTCTAATTCAGGACACTGAAATGGGGAAGAACACAAAAGCAAATAAATCCTGCTGCCCTCAGAGATCTGATGTTTCTGTGTCATTAAAATCCAAGTAGTTTCCATAGCTAGCTTACCAGGCAGTCTCGGGAAATACCAGTATTTCGGTCAAGGTCATATCCTCCTATTGTTTCAAATTATCTAAATATATATAGATACATATTTTTAAAAATTGAGGTATAGTTGATTTATAATATTATGTAAGTTTCAACTGTACAACATAGTGATTCACAATTTTTAAAGATTATACTCCATTTATAGTTATTATAAAATATTGGCTATATTCCATGTGATGTACAATATATCCTTGTAGCTTATTTTATACACAGTGGTCTGTACTTCTTAATCTCCTACCCTAATATTGCCCCTTACATATATTTTCTAATATAAAATATAACACTATAGAAACTGTGAGACACCTAAGAAATGGATGAAAAGGAACTTATTTTTATGTGTTTTATAATTCAAGTATTCTAAATTAATGCTATTAATAAATTTCCTAGGTTTTTTTCTTCTTCGATACATATAAGTTGGAAATAAAGTAGGACAAGCCTACAACGTTACCCCAAAGTTTGAAATGAGCTACAGAGTTGAAACAACCTAAACTGCCAGAGTTATGTATTTTGACTAGAAGTATGAAAATACATTCATAAAACTGATAATTTCAGCACAGCACCCTTAATAATATTCATATAATTCCATGAAGCAATTCAAACCAAAGAAGTACAACAACAAACAACATTGATGAATCTCTCAATTATAATGCTGGGTGAAAGAAACAAGACACACAAAAAGTATATACTGTATTATTATACAAAGTTCAAAAATTAATCTGGGGTATTAGAAGTCAGGATGATGGATAGTAACATCATGGGGGATGGTGACTGAAAAAGGCTATGAAATGGGCTCTGGGTGCTGGGAATATTCTGTGTGCTGGTCACATGGTTACCTCTACTTTGTGAAAATCCATTAACTGTACCCTGTGTACTTTTCTGTATAATATGTTATAGCTCAATAAAAATTTACTAAAACAAAACAAACAAAACCTTTAAATAATCTCTAAATTAAGGTCACAAATGCAGCTGCTCCTAAGGGGCTAGGTAGCTAACATAATATTTGAATCCAGTTGGTATAAGAGTGATGAGGCCAGTGGTAGATTAAAGTGAACATAAAGCACTAACTAACATGTTTAAAGACAAGAAAAAGGTGTTGGGCTTCCCTGGTGGTGCAGTGGTTAAGAATCCTCCTGCCAATTCAGGGGACATGGGTTCGATCCCTGGTCCAGGAAGATCCCCTATGCTGCGGAGCAACTAAGCCTGTGCGCCACAACTACTGAGCCTGTGCTCTAGAACCCGCGAGCCACAACTACTGAAGCCCGCGGGCCTAGAGCCCGTGCTCCGCAACAAGAGAAGCCACCGCAATGAGAAGCCCACGCACTGCAATGAAGAGTAGCCTCAGCTCACCGCAACTAGAGACAGCCTGCATGCAGCCAAGAAGACCCAATGCAGCCAAAAATAAACAAATAAATAAAATAAATTTATTAAAAAAAATGTTGGAAATCTTTCAGGCATATATAGCAACATCCCTTCTATTCATCACTCAACTTAAAAAGAATAAAACATTACTAATATAGTTGAAACCCGCTGTGTAGCCTAATCCAACTAAATCTCTTCCATCCTGGAGTTAACTACTATCCTGAATTTGATGTTTTATCATGCTTATTCCTTTTTAATAATTTTACTCTAAATGTATCCCTAAACAGTATTATTATTTTTTTTTTTTTGCGGTATGCGGGCCTCTCACTGTTGTGGCCTCTCCTGTTGTGGAGCACAGGCTCCAGACGCGCAGGCTCAACAGCCATGGCTCACAGGCCCAGCCGCTCCGCGGCATGTGGGATCCTCCTGGACTGGGGCATGAACCTGTGTCCCCTGCATCGGCAGGCAGACTCTCAACCACTGCGCCACTAGGGAAGCCCATGTAGTATTATTTTATAAGATTCATCCATGTTAACACATGTCACCCTACATCTTCTTATATAGACTGCTTTCTAAACTGGTATAATTACTTTTAGGAGAAATTTGACAAACTCTAGTAAATTTCAATTTATGTACATCATACAACCCAGCAATTCTCATCCTAAGAATTATACCTAGAATAGAGAATATTTTGGATGAGTACAAAGACATGTGCAAAAATTCATCATATCAGCATTATTTGCAAACAACTGAAAACTGTCTAAATATCCATCGACATAAGAAAGGATAGCCACAACGGTGAGAGACACACGTACCGCAAAAAAAAAAAAAAAAAAAGGATAAATACATTTGGGCATATTTAGATAATGCAGTAGTATACAGCACCATATATGAAACTAAAATCATGTTTGAGTGTGAGGCGACAGTTTCTGACAGTCTGCATTAACACCTAAAACTCAGTATTTACATCATTAAGTCAATTTTGACAATGCAATATTTTATCTAATATGGTTCATATGTAATATTTTAATCGATTATAATCCAATTGAGAGAACACACAGCAGACTATTGTTTTGATTACATTTAATATGTAGCTCTTCTTTTAGATTATCTTACGAGAGTAATATGCTATACATTTACAATAGTCAAGACATAGAAGCAACCAAGATATCCATCGACAGATGAATGGATAAAGAAGATGTGTGTGTGTGTGTGTATATATATATACACACACACACACACACACTGGTAGAATGAACTGGGGCTTCCCTGGTGGCGCAGTGGTTGAGAGTCCGCCTGCCGATGCAGGGGACATGGGTTCGTGTCCCAGTCCAGGAAGATCCCACATGCCGCGGAGCGGCTGGGCCCGTGAGCCATGGCCGCTGAACCTGCGCGTCCGGAGCCTGTGCTCCGCAACGGAAGAGGCCACAACAGTGAGAGGCCTGCGTACCGCAAAAAAAAAAAAAAAAATCAAAACAAAAGAACATATACACACACACATATATATAAAACTGAACCAGTCTGCTGTACACCAGCAACTAACACAAGATTGTCAATTAAAAAAAAAAAAAGAATAACGTGCTATATAAGAGCACTTTCCCTTGGGCTGGTGAGGTCAGTGCCTTTTGGAATGTGCCAATCCAAGGCACGACATAAAAACACCAGTGAATCAATAGTTTCAAAAGTGTTTCACCTTTCAAAGGCTATCAAAAAGCTTCAGCCCTTATTACAGGAATATGAGCAGAA